TAAAAAGTAGTTCATTATATAGAAAACTACCAAATGGTTTGACAAATATCTTCCTCTAGACGAACTGGTCTCCACTGAGTAATGGATGCACATGAATAATCCTTACCGCTCATTACTAATCAAAACCCATCCAACAGGTCTGCAGTGTAGACATTAAAATGGGTGAAATGGTACTGTAGTGCACCACATTTTGTTATTAAACTCATAACAGAAATCATCGGACCGGTGTATGTATCTGCAACCTAAAGCAATATGGTGTTCTCTGAGTAATTTAAATCTCCGTCACCTAATGCCGGAGTCAGGAATTTTATCACTAAGCTATTCAAGTCACAACTGACTCCCTGTAGCACTTACTCATCTACAAGAAATAGGTACTAGTGGATGACCGAATTAGCCACCTAATTTGTAATTGGAAATATATTACATCAGGGTGCATCAAGTGAGTATATGAAAGTGCAAAAACAGCTTAGCAATAATACTTAACTAGCCGTCATTAGAGACAAATGCATTTTAGTCTAACAATTGTCAACTACTCCTGTTCTCAGACAAATTTATGGCGTTTTCATAGACTAAATGATTCTTGATATGCCTGTAGCCTTTACTGAAGCGTGATTGAAGCTAAAGTCAGTGGCAAGAAGAGGGGCAAGGATAAGCACATTGAATGACTACTTCTTTTGTAGAGGGTTTTCAGACAACTGTTGGTATAAGAAAGTGAATCAAACAAATAATTATAAGTGAGGCCCAAGATCTTGATTATTTATACTCAAATAATCAATGTCTGTAACCATTAGCCTAAAAGATATGAAAAGACAACAATTGGTTTAGAGTATGATTTACTGGGGATGAAGCAAAACTTATTGATAAAATAGGCGGCACTGGGTAGACTGAAAATTAATTAGGTTTTATGTAGCAAAGTTATGATGAAGGATGGAAGAAGAGTTCTCCTAGAAAGTTAATTGTTACATTTTGAGCAGTGTACTAGATTTATGAATTTTATTAAAAATCTTTCAGTAACTCACGAATCACTAATTTTAGTGAAGACTTAAGCTACTTGTTGATAACTTATGAATATTAATGAAAAGATTGTATTCTGATGGCGTCATGAGAAAAACGTAGTCATGGAGTAGTTTCTGCTGTAGTTATTTGCAAATTTACAGCTACTATCTCAATGATCCAGTCGGTTAAATTTGTGAGCAAAATATTCACTCTGAGAGTAGAAGGAAGATATTGGACCAGTTGCCTTGCCAGCAACAATTCATAGAAATAACCGGCCATTAATTATCGATTGGAGTGAAGCGCATTTTGTTTCCACAGACTTGCATCTTGTAGGAGATTATGTTCATTCAAGACAAACTATTAAATTCGCATCAGTGATCCTTATTTACTTGAGCATTCATATTGGCAAAATTCTAAATGTCATAAACAGTTGGGAATTTCAACAAAATGCGCAGAACCGGCAAAATCAAAACAGAACTACTGAACCTCATATTGTGATGAGATTGTTTGGACGGTTTTATATGATATGGATGGTTTTGTAGTGCAATGTTCCACCATAACTGATCTCACGTTTCTACTCTGATAATAGCAATAATGTTACTACTGAGAAGATCGAGAGACAAGTTGTACAGGGCTATGAAACTGAATGCAACAATTTTGGTGGTATTGCTAGATATCTATAAAAAAAATACTTAAGTCACTTACCTGTATTCTTCGAAAATGATTCAGCTTCATGAGTTGACAGAAATCACAAAGTGATAATTGGTTTCCGTATCATTTTTAAGGAAAGATTTCTAAGCGAAATGATTTGTGAATTACCATTTCACACTTAGTAGTTTAAGTGAACAGGCCATTGTCAACCGATCCAAGAGGTTTTATTGGTTCTAACCTATTTCACATTCAGATTTTGGTTTTTACTTAAATAATGTCCTGTTGATACCTAATTACGGTTTAAATACAATGAGTGAAAAGAGTTATGAACAGAGTAACAATTCATTACAGAAGAATTTCTATTTCAGAGAGACCTCAAAAAATAAACGAGTGGTCATGATATGAAACCAAATATGAAATGCTAAGATTGAAAGGATGATTTCTTTAGTTAATCAAGAATATTTAAGTGATCCTTTCCTATGCAGACATATGGTTTATTGCAAGAAATAAGTATTCTCAGTAGCAAGATCCAATCGAACTTTGACAAAATGAGATAGGTGCAAGATATAGCTGATCACAACGTCAAATCAGGACTATGGAAACACTTAGCAGATTTATCTTACGTGACGATGCAGCTGAAAGGTTTGTTTGCTTATATTATTATGCCTTTTTCTGGGTTACATATCCAAACAGTTTCTATCGTAATAATAATAATAATGGGCTGAGCTTTGCAGACTTTCAGCTTTCTTTGCACTAATATATCAGTCAATGACAATAAAGTAAGGCCTGAGTGTTGAGGTTGATCGACTTAGTCTACCTTATAAGTCCTTCAGACTATGACACTGTCAGCGGAGGAATGATCGTTTGATTCCAGCTTTTGAACATCAACTACTGGGTCACATGCTTGAACCTCTCCCATCCCTCAAGTAAACGAGTAGACACAAGGTGTTATACATTAAATGTGACTCATGGTATAGTCGATAGAACTGTGCCAGATAAGTGAGCTGAATATTACTGAATACAATTTGGAGATTTGTTTGGATTTTACTGACTTCAAGTAGGTATTCTTCAAGGACTGATACCAGTTGGAGGACCACTGGAAACCTCCCATCCTAGTACGGGATTCAGTAATATGCATCCATGACCCCGCCAGGGTTCGAACTCAGGACTTTCAGGTCCCTCAGTGGGCAAGTTACTGTTAAGCCACCAGCTCAGAATTCTTGTTAACACTGAATAGTATTAAATATTTACTTCCGGAGTAAGATTTGTTCCTAGAACAGGTGTTCTTTTCAGTGCTTATTAGTTGAAGTAATTTTATTGATACCTCCTGTGTTATTTAGATAAGAGTCGAAGCTGCTGTCATCAGTCTAATTTTCAGAGTAAAATTTCAGCAAAGGAAGTTTATGATTCACTTAAACTTCAGTAAATTGAGAACATATTCATACACATCTTTCAGGAACTTTTATACCCGATTAATTTTCACCGTCAGCATTTTCGTTGAATTTTGTTACTTTTTAAATTTCAACGGATGAAATACTTAGATTTCATGACAGTTAAACTTGAACACTTGCTACTTTAGAGTTTTATTTCATATGGTTTGGTGTATTTGATATAACACACAGCGATACAGTATTACTTATGAAATGAATAATAAGTTAATTAATTATTATTGATGTATCACTTGACACCGCATTAAGTGACAAGAAACAATAATTAAATCCTTAGGAAATTATGCTCATGTTACGCAGTACCTTTTAATTCAAGAAGTACTTTGCAACTTACTTTTGCAACTTAATCTGATAGCGGCGTTAATAATTGTAGTAATAGTGCAGTAATATTAGCATTTGAGGTGGAATATAAATGAAAATAGTTAAGTTTGCTACACAAAATCATAACATCAGGTTTTTATGTCTTTCCGGGGATTGTAAACATTTCGAATTAAGGATATAAATATTTCCATTCAGTCACTAGCCAGCAGTGGTTTTATTGCAATCCTATTCCATAACCAACCACCATTAAGATCATATTGTGGCCAGAGGATGATATAAATTAAGGTGCTCCTCAGGATGGAATGTGAATCTTTCATGAATGCACACAGGACACGTTGACATAAGGAATGTATATGATATGGAAAATCTTTTTCCCAAAGAAATTAAAACTGTCGGTGAACGATTATTTTGTCAAATTAAGGAAACTGGTTAGGCCCGAAAAGCACAATAGTAACGTTACCATCCAATACAGTGGGTGACGCGGGTTCGAATCTCACAGGAGGACATAAGTTCCCTGGAGGTTACTGATATGCCATATCGATGAGTGCCAACTAGCGCGAAACCCAGCTCCACGGCTTCCTATCGACTGCCTCCAACAAACTAACATCCATCGAAAAGCGTCGCACTGGTGAACTTCCTAGCTTAGTGGTCACACTGAAAAATGATTGGTAGGATTTGGTGAGCACTCAAGACTGAACTATATGAATTAAGTTTTTCTAAATTAACCAATCAGTGTAAAACTGGTGCACACTCACATGAGTAAAGTCAAAATAAACAGAAATCTAGGTCACTCAGGAATTCAAATAGAACACTGACCTAATGTAAGTATGAAAACTCATGATAATAACTGCTGGTGGTGAAAATGTGGGTACATGACTTTCTCAGTGACACCTTGAATCAAAGGATCAGTTTTCACATACGATGGAAAATTTTAACTCAGCGGAAATAACTTGACTACAAGTTTATCTCTAGAATTAAAAACTACGAAAACAAGTAGTGCGGACAGTTACAATGCCTGAGTTTTCTTAAAATAGTTAACAATTACTTGTGGTAAGAAAGAATGACAGGAAGTCTAAGTTTCTTTGGTAAAGATAAGTCCACTTGAAGACTACTTACAAATTATTGTTCATCGAAACAGTACTGATCTCCACAGCCGCTTTATTTCCAAGTAATTTAGAAATTAATCATGCAAACAGTGGTATACCATTCTATCTAAATCAGCTTGACAAATGCATTTACTCTGTACAGCTCAGATGTGTACAATAAAGTTGTCCAGGTAAAACGTTGATGAACTCAACCAAAAGTCAGTGAAACACCCACCCGGTGTATAAATCGTAGTGATTTGGCCAGCGAAACGTATCGATCAGTGAGTGCGGTTGCTAAGTAATCATGTCCAAAAAAAGGCTGCTATGAAATTTAGGCTAACCCTTAACGTTGGACGATTCTAGAATATTCAGTTGTGTGATATAAAACTGACGATTGAATCCTGTAGTACTTTCCATCCTTTTAGTTTATCGTACCATCAGTTACTTAGTGCTATCTCCTTAGCCTTCTGAAGCCATCATCTGTTTAAACCATTAAAGATGCTTTCTATGAAAATTTATTATCCAAAGTTCACTCTCGAAGGAAACTATACAGGAAAACGATCAAGCATATATGAAATCAAAGGTAAGAAAAGTAATTCTGGTATAGTAAAAAATATTTGTGTGAAACTACATGATTAACATGATCACTATTGGTACGTTTACATAAATTCTTTCTGAAGATATATATCTGTTCAACTGAATGACTAGGAATATGTGTTTAACCGCATTTCTGTCAGCTTGGAAGTTGAAAGTATTTATGTAAATCAGTGACATGAGAACAGAGTAAAAATGAAATAAAAAAATTATAGGAAAAAAATGTGAACACAATTTCTTGATAACTGAACTAAACTGGGAAAACATTTATTGAGGAAATGCCTACACGATGTTGAATCTTCACGATTGCTCTATTTTCAAAAGTATGTTTGAGTCAAAATGTTCTTAAGTTTATTTGTCTCTCTCAAAAAAGCGATGTAAAGACGCTCCATCAATTGATTGTATCGCGGAAGACATCATAATATTGAACATTAAAGAATGTTCAGAAGAATGGTTATCATGATCATTGGTTTTGTCTAGATGAATGTAGATGGCTTTCACCGAACGAATTTTGAATCCGTACAACAACTGTAAGCATTAGCTAGTAAAGAAAAACAGTATAAAGAGGAGTTAATTTAACTTAAGCTTAAACAACAATCTAACTGGTATTAGAAATCACAAAAGTCTTCATCACCTCAAGTATGTACCATTAAATATACGTCAGAAATGTATCAGTGATTTAAAACGATTAGCAGTTTTATCTTTATCTTATTACGGACCAGAACTGTCCGTTTTCATATCCAGGAATTCAGATATTGGATAGACAATGTTCTTATATCATCACGGAAGTATACTCAGTAAGATTTCATACACATATTTCCCATTTTATGATATGGAATACAAAAAAAAACAAAAACTGAAGCAGAACAATATAATAAGTTCTCTTCTGATGATCTCTCATCAGCTGTTTACAATTTGAAAAACATAAATATTCTTGAGAACAGGTTTTGCAACCAGCTGAGGGTAGTTAGTCGGAATTACCTGGTGATAGAAAATATGTCCAACTTTGTTAGTTAAACGATATTGACATACATTATGCTGTAATTGGTTAATGTACAACTGGTGAAATAAAATGGTACAATCTTTGTTTCTTCTCTTCTCCCTGAAAGTTATAATAAAAGTAAACATGATTCTTTTGCTTCCACTCTATTAATTTAAAGGATTTTAGTGAGTTATATTTTCAATATTACTTTTTTTATTCAGAATGTTCAAACATATGATTATCCGTAGTGATATTATTGTAGGGAAGAATATGTGCCAGAAACGTCATTCAATAAATGGAGTTTTGTACTATACTAAATAGGTAAAACTAATAAGCATCTATGCCGAAACACGTTAACCATATTCATCTAATGAACAGAATTTCATTAGTAGTAAAACACAGAAAAATGACGTCAAATTGCTTCTTTACAAGAAATTATCCGACTGATGATGAAATAACGGTGAGAAAGAATAGCGAATTTATGGGTCTGAACAAAGTCTTAGACAAAATAGAAATGTTTTAGTTCGCTAGATTTTGTTCAAAGATTAAAACAGTCGCCAAACTAAAATAAGACACCGAGTTATTGGAAAATCGTTGATACAATAACGCAGTAAGTGTTGACATTATTAGAACTAAAAATTTACAGCTCAGTATATTTGGAAAAATAGGCTAATCGCTATCATTTTCAAGTACTAACTGGCAGAAATAGACTGGTTGGAATTCTCGTCAAAGTTACCCTCCAAAGTTATTTTCTGGAGAGTTTAACATTAAGCTAACTCAGTTATGGCTTTCAAGAGTAGTAGATATTCTGATTTAATGAATTCAAATTACAGCACTCAACTTTCTTGTACAAATAACTTTCTCACGTCTTTGTAAATTCCAGATAGTATAACTAGAAAAGAAGTAAGATGGAGTAATCAAGCTATGCAGTTGAGTGTGGGAAAGCATGTACCTAAACAGCTTCATAAACAAATGGAATGTGAAACCAAACATACTATAGAAACGGGTAACAAATTGTTGTTCAAACAGCTTCCAAAGTTTCATACAGAAATAGCCAGGGACACATACCGAGATTCGCGGAAGTGATAACCATACACGAATCGAAACCACTTTTATGTGTACAGAAACAACTTGTTTTTACACTACGCCTACCTTGGTAAACTTTGTTTTCCCGCCAAGATTAGGATCAACTATGTCACTTGTCTTGTTTATTCTCATCTTTCTTCATTTTAATCCCCTATTATCTTAATTGTTATAATTGTCCTCCCACTCTTCGGTTTAATATACATTGACTTGACACATAAATGCATGATCAGAATGTTCAAAATTTACCGTCGAAGCGCATCAAATTGTTCAGATAAACTTCATACGTTAATTACACTACCTAAAATCTCTGTAAAGGGATATTTAGCGAGTAAAAAGTATTCATTAGAAAATGAAAAGCTTTACCGAGTGACCCTCTTTCCATATTCATAAAAGTATGGGCACACTAATTGTTTCCCAAGTTCATATTTCTTATTTTTACACAAACATAATGTGTCTACAAACTTTATTTACATCTAAATAGTGACTCCCACATTTACTTTAAGAAATTAGCTTGAATTATTTTTCAATGGTTTTATTTCTTTAAGTCTCTTCATGATGTGAAAACAAGCTTGTTTTGATACCTAGTAGAGAAATACTGAATGACCAACATGTTTACATCTCAAGTAACATTAAGACAAATTTTAATTTTATAAGAACTGAGCGGATATACATTGAAGATAAAACTAACAGTAAGAATAGTTCGATAGCAGTTTAAACGCAGTAAAAATAAGGGTAGTAAGTATGGTTTAGTCTATCAACTCAAAGCTTATTCATCACTAGGGAGAAATTAAAAATGATTGAGTTCCCATTTTGATCAGAAAATATGCTTCGATGTTGTTTGAGACAGAACCCTCAATGATATTCTAGACAGTAGCCCTGGTGTGTGTTGAGAATGCATACAAATAGTGACTTTTTTACATGCTTAACTATCCCAATCTATTCTAATGAGGTGTTCGATCTTTTCGCCTAATCTGTTTGACTGACATTTTCTCATTTGAGCTTCGACTGTCAATAGACGTATTCTCAGGGTTTGACTAGTTTGTTTGATCAGTCGTCGTAATTTACCACGTTGTTAATTACCTGCGGTCATCTTAGTATCGGTGTTGTAGCACAGTAGTGATTAGTCGCCTGTTGGTCTCGAGATGATTCATCATTCACTGAAAACCAGAAAGTGCTTAGAAGCAGAATTGCTTGACTTTGGAACAAGTGATCAGTGTGTCAACGCAATTTCCGTAGAATATGCAATTGAAATGTGAAGTCTTGCAGAAAATTGGATGCATTACAGCCAGTAGGTATGACTTATGTGGTTATCATTCTCAAACTCCCTTTAGTTTGTCATATTAATTGGTGGTCTTTAGGTCCTATCAACAGTTCCTTATTGTTACCAGAGGATAGAACAAAGAGCTTTCTCATTCTGAAGTAATTTTATGAATAATGAAATTAATTATAGTACTGGCTTCAGCCTGGCAAACTACTTTTGCAGATATCCGTTTTATTACGAAATAAATATCTCGAAACTAGTAAGTTGGGAATATTTACTACATGTGAATGATATTTTAGTGGATTCACATAAGCGAAGATTTGAGTAAACTGTTTTATTTCATTCTTTAACGTATAACCTCATGTATATATAATGCGACCAGTCCTGAGAACATTGAAATTTCTGGTGTAAAACCGTGGCAGCATTTTCATTATGATTGTCGACTATGTTGAAATAGCATTTTATCCAACAATCCTTATGTTTACGTCTTATAAACTACAGAAGACAAAGTAATCAACAAATCTAGTATATATATATATATATATATATATATATATATATATATATATATATATATATACTAAAGTCTGTTAATAAGTATGGGTTTCCTAGATATATCTACTGCAGAACTTGGTAAGTGAAAATATTCATTAGTTTATATGTCACACCAATCGGCTTTCTCCAGGAGTCGACAGAATATCATCTTATTCAAGTATTTACAGTCGTGCATCTCATCTATACACAAACTAGATGATGGAACTTACCTTTCTGGATACTCGTGAGAGATAAGCTTGTTTCGTTTTCCTCTAGTGACAGCTTGATCGTCATCTTCAGCTGTATCATGAACTGAATATATACTTCTTAGACGTCATCAATTTTGAAAAGCATCTAAATGTAGTCATAAACCGCAGAAATTGAAAAAGTAGTATACCACAATATGCTAATGTGTGCAGGTGTAATTTTGGGGGTAGTTACAGTTTTTATTGACTAACAAAAATGTAATGAACAACAAAATGTTTCAAAGTGACTTTTCTCATCGACTGAAATCTCATATTTTGTAATTTTATTTGATTTAGTACACTGTAGTACAATATAATTTACTACATCCCGTTTTGAGAACAGTTTATTCCTAATAATCATATAATTTACTATCGCAGTTCAGAAGTTCTAATTTCGAATGCATTGAAAACATCTACAGAATCACTGAGTTGTAGAAAGAGCTAATCAGTTGTTTACTGAACAGTAGTGCACAAGTAAAGCCCAATATCAACTTATGACTTTTACATTTTCACATTGCTCATGAGGAAACAGTTGTCCTGTTCATTTTTACTTTAGTTGCTTATGTAGTTGATTTTGATCTATGACGAATGTCATCCTAAACTTGTTCATTTCCTCAGGAACCACTTGTATGAAAGAAAATTTAGCTTTATTTTTACTTTTTGATAGACAATGCTACTCAGATTAGCTAAAAACATACATTTGTAGGCGTTTGTTTGTTATAAATGTTCATTTCAGAGATCACAATGAATTGAATACTAAAAATTAAATCATATAAATTTCAGTTGGTTTCCTGTCCTGCAGGATTGCGGTGTATATCTGCTTCAGCTAGTTTTATAATGAAACACTTTAGTATGGTTGGAAACAAATACGAAACAGAAGAAAACCTATAAAAAACCATTTTTTAGAAGTCTGGCTTAAGTATAATGATGAACATAGATGGATATGCATAAAAATTTACTTAAAGCCTAGATCAACCTCAATAAGCATCGACTTTTCGTCGATTACTTAGTGGCGAATAAGTCCAGTGTCAGACAATCTAATTGATCACTCAACAGTAACAAGAACCTTTCTACAGAGTTTACAGTACATCTAAAAACATAACTGGCTAAATATCTTGAAACAGTATGTTTATTGATTAATCACCATACATACCCTGACATAAGTTAGATAAATTATAAGTAGGTTGGTGGTCCATTTAGTTAGACATGCTGGCTATTCTAAAAAAACGAGAGATACTTCAGAACTGATAGACATTTTCAGACAATATGTGCTAGCAAATATATATAAGAAGTGGTTTATGATCATGTAGTATCATGGATGCGAACTATAATGCCTATGAGTAAGATTTTTTCTATGAAAAATGGTTTACGCTTGCTTATTGACTTTTTAGGCTTAAATATGTAAAATCATGACAGTTTCGTTTTATCTTTTA